TATTTCCTCCTTAAACACAGATACAACCCCCCCACCCCCTTCTCTTTTCAATGGAAAACAGGCAGAAGGGTGGAGTACAGCAGCTCAGGGTGAAAGAGGGAGGGGCCTTCCACTTAAAAAAGCACTTGGTTTGCCCACTTGACAAGATGACAACATTGCATACATGATAGCAAATATCCATACGTGACAGACAACTCGGTAACAATCAGATGGCTCTACTGAACGGATCTATGAAACACAAAGATCAGCAAGATCCAGATGCCATCAAAGAGCCTTTGTTTCATCTCACTTTCATGATAAATGATCTTTTTAACAGAATAACACAAAACAGTAACTATCCCTTCACCCTAAACAGATGTAGCAAAACTTTTTCTTAAAGGGATAGTCAGTCAGGTTTGAACTGATGTTCTATGATATTTACCAATATTTAGCAACCTCTCAGCTGTGGCATCAGTCACAGAGTATAGGGTAAGAAGAAGAAGCAGAAGATTTTATGCAGGCAAGTCAAATTTAATCGCTTAAAGGAAAAAAACAACAAAAACTCTTTCTCAAAAGCAACACGTGAAAGAACATTACATTAGCTAATATTAAACCTCAACAATTTTGCATAAAACCATTTGTTTTGTTCGTTGCTGTTTTCTCAACTAAACATTTATGTTATTCCAAACCATTGGCGCACACAATCTATATGTATTCAGCATGCATTTACAAAGGAAGACAACCATTGTTTGTTGAGAAAACAAACTAACTGTGTCATTCAAAAGTGTAGAAGTTTTTTTTATTATTCGTTTATACAGTATCAGTATGTCATTTAGTTGTTTAATAAACATGAAATTAAAAAAAAATAGTACGAGCCATTTGCATAGCCTGGACAAAGACGTTTGCCTTGTTCTCATACTCCTTATACTATGACTAATGTCATGGCTTACAATGTACTAATTATTGATAACCATTAGATGGAACATTGCTTCAAAGATGACTGGGCAACCCCTTCAACAGTGTGTAAATGTGTGTCTCCCATCACTTATGGTACGTTCACACCGAACGCGTTTTGAACGGCAGGAGCGGCCGATTCACATGCAAAGTCCATGGAGGACGCGCCTCTAGGGGTCGTGCGTCGCATCACGTAGGTTTTGGGTGGCGCGCAAGGAAGGTGGAAGGGGCGCAGAGCGTTTTTCGCACATGCGGTGCTGCGGAAGCAGCCGCTGCCCGAGTCGCCGCCAGAGTTCAAATATCTGAACTTTTCGCTGCTCGACGCATCTCCCACTGAAAACCGAAACAGACGGACTGGAGGTCTTTACCTGAAATCGACCATGTGCAGTTGGATTTTCTGGCAGGATATGTCAGCACCGATGTGGATCAGCTGCTCTGGACCAAAAAAAAAAGTTCCGTCCGCTGGCAGCTTCTGGAGTGACGAAACTAACTGAACAAATCGCCTCTAAATCATCTGGTGTATTAATTATCTGCTGTGCGCAACGTTCGCCTGCTTTTTAGTAAATAAATCAAAGCCATTTTCTTTTCTTTTATCTTTATTTCACCCGCCGAGGACACGCTCCTCCCANCGCAGAGCGTTTTTCGCACATGCGGTGCTGCGGAAGCAGCCGCTGCCCGAGTCGCCGCCAGAGTTCAAATATCTGAACTTTTCGCTGCTCGACGCGTCTCCCACTGAAAACCGAAACAGACGGACTGGAGATCTTTACCTGAAATCGACCATGTGCAGTTGGATTTTCTGGCAGGATATGTCAGCACCGATGTGGATCAGCTGCTCTGGACCAAAAAAAAAAGTTCCGTCCGCTGGCAGCTTCTGGAGTGACGAAACTAACTGAACAAATCGCCTCTAAATCATCTGGTGTATTAATTATCTGCTGTGCGCAACGTTCGCCTGCTTTTTAGTAAATAAATCAAAGCCATTTTCTTTTCTTTTATCTTTATTTCACCCGCCGAGGACACGCTCCTCCCATACCTCGCTGCTGCCGCTTGTTCTGGTCTGAACACTAGTGCGTTCTTYGGTCTGAAAATAATGCGTCCAACGAGAGGCGTTTTGCGCTTTTTGGCCGCTCAAAACACGTTCGGTGTGAACRTAGCATTAGAATGCTCTGTTTGCTGTTTAGTACTTCAACTGCCAGTTAGCATATCTCAGAGAATCTGCATGCTTTGATAAAAGCAGCAGTATTTCGCACCCTGGGAATGGGGACGTGTTGGAAAAGCAGGATGTGGGGACTATGGAGAGAGAGAGAGAGAGAGAGAGAGAGAGAGAGAGAGAGAGAGAGAGAGAGTCATGGTTTAGTAATGATATAAACAACTCCCTGTGTACATCAAACATCCTTTGCTCCAGATAAAAGGGAGAGAAAGTATAAAGGTGCTCAATGAAAGAAAARGATGATGGGCTGTGATCGGAGATGAGAGAGTGGGGAGGCAGAGTCATGGCCAGTGATTTTGTAAATAACTGCTAGTCTGCATCAATCTAAACTGGCTCTGTAGATTGGCAGGTTCTCAGGCATTTCCAGGATTTTGAATTAGTATGCTGATGTCTTTTTTGTGGTTTAGAATACGAATCAAGCTGTTTTGCCTCAGGTAAGGTTTAATATCAGCTGTCTGGTAGTTTCCTTGACCAAATGAACCTGTTTCTGGTCAGCTTGGGCAGTAAGGGTCTTTTGAAATAAAAAGGGCTGGCATTTTTTTCTCCATTTGAATGCTTTTTAGTTTCCCATGGAGGCTAACTGTTCTTGTTATCTCTAACATTGTCTAAAACTTTTATAYATTAATCATGCAGTCAGTGGTGAAAAGTAGAGTTGGTTGATATAAACYTTTGTCATGATAGCTCAAGATAGTTGTTGCAAAAACACTGCAAATGTGATTGATGACTGCGGCTTGCAGGTAACRGCATTTATTAGTGTGAACAAAAAGCACATATTTATTTTTCATTTTTATGACCCACTGTGCTTGCTGACAGCATTTGCTGCAAGGGAGGCTCTACAAAAGCAGAGTAATAGTGCAACGATAGAGACACTGCTAAATCAAATGAGAGCAATAAAATATTCAATCTTGTTTTCCCTGGGAAGTATAACATATCTGCTTAACAAACTGGTTTAACAATTATTAAAGTGTAAAACTTACAAATCTTCAGTTGGCTGCAGACATATCGAAACTGACCTCTCACTATAGTTACACTATAAAATAGTGGCTGCAATACAAACAAACACTGATTGCGCAGACATCTTAATCTTGCCCAAACAACATCATCAGCACTACCTGTGTACCATTTTCTTTTGCTATTATATGGAGTACAAATAGTACCTTGACCAGCAATGCTTGGTTGAGTCTTTTATTTACCTCTGGACTACATTTCTTTGTCTGTGTGCTTTTGTTGTCTGATTGCACTGTTTAGTGTTTCTTTTTGCTTCAAATGGTCAAACAAGTATATTGGGTTTTCAGTTTTCCTGCACATTTTACAAAATATTGTTTTACTGGAAGTTTATCCTCTTGTAGCCAAACCACTTATTGACGTAGCTTTTGTTTTTAGACCTCTTTCACACTGGATGATGAGCAAGTTACACTCTGAACGACCTGTTACATTGAGGCTAGATCACACAAAAAAGACTGAAAACCCTTCAGTGTGAAGGGAATCATGATGCTGCCACACTCTTAGCACTTGCTTAATAGAGGTTTCCTTTTATTTTCCACATCTTTGAGATACTCGCTTGCACTTTTCATCACACTTGTTAGGACTTCTCTGGCACATTTTTCGTGGRCCATGCCAGGATTTTGCTATACACTGGAGGACCACGTCAAGCAAGCATGATGAGTATCGTGTCTGCTCTAAGTTGCTACAATGACCTTGTCACAATCGTGGTCATAGCCTAGTCATGAGGCCAGTGTGGCCAGTTTTCAAATCTTTATGAGAGATGTGATGTTTGTGAATGAGCTGAATGGTTTGAATGACTCCTTTAACGAATGAAAGAAACTTAGTTGTGGACAGTAGAGTTTACTACTTGTAATTTTACCGCCTTCTTCACAGAGACAATCACTTCTCCTTTGCTTTTTCATGGAAAACCAGCAAAGTGGTAGTGGTGGAGTACATCAGCTTAGCGGATGGGTGGGGTGTTTGGCTTAACAAAACTTGGTTCCGCCCACGTGATGCAATGCCGTACATGATGACRTTTTCCTGATGTGATGGTGTAACTTATTCAAAATTGAATAGCTCTACGAAATGAATGTACCGGCAAGATCCAGATCCCCTCAAAAAAGCATTTGTCCATTTGTCCCATTCTTAGTGTGATAAAGGTGCCWCTTTATTTTGTTGATATATCAACATGACATTTTTTTTTACTATTGAAAAAGTTATGTTATTGGAAATAGTAAGGTATGGTATATCCCCCATCAGGAGTGCGGCATAGATTTCAAGAAAATCATTTCTCATCACTTGTGCTTTGGTGTTGTGTTAAATCTGGTTGACTTCTAAACTTTTTTGCCATATTGGGTCCTTAGTGGTGTGTCTCAAATTTCTTACTGACTGCTCTTACCATAAAATCTTAATACTAAAAGCAATTTAAGTGGTGAAAGATGCCCACGACATGGACCCCTGATATTTATCTGGGGTTGTGAATTGGTGTATGATTTTTTTTTTCAGTTTAATTGATCTCCTATTTTTCATAGTTGAATTWGAAAACTATCAACCCTTCTTTAAGTTAATACAATAGTGTCTTGTGATGACCAAGACAATACAGCCAAAACAGCAGACAGATGGCATGCCCAGTTATCTTTTTCTTGGCTTTTGCTTTACTAATGTCACCATGTGAAATGTGAAGGACTTAGGCTCAAGCCTGCAGTTCATTAAGGGAATAGTTGGAGTTAGTTGTTGTTTATTAGCCCTCACACAGTATATTTCTTAATGTTAATAATCTGCATTGATTTACTGAGCTGCCAACAGACATTAATTTCTCTCTCTGTTTTCTTGTCTTTTCTTTATTTTCTCCATGCATTCCCTTTGGACCCCGAAGCTGAAGAGTATATTGTCGAAGGTAAGACTGATGCTTTTCTTCGCAGGCAGTCTGATGGCACTCCTTGCTGCTCTCACGGCTGCCGATGCTGGTTGCTTGTTAATACTATACGGCCTCCCTCTGGGGAGGGGCATTGTCTGTTTGGACTGCGGTTATAAGTGACTTCCAGGGGGCCTAAATTCCAGTTTCTGAACAAGATAAAAGGGGATTGGCCAACACTTCTTTTAAATATCCCTTTTTCATCTTGAGTTCAGATTATCTGGCTTTTTTTTTTTTTTTCATTTTTCTTTGTTTTGATTGCAATTTGTCTTCAAAGAAACAAGCTTTAGCTGCTACTCAGGACTATTATTATGCATAAAAATGGTCAAGTCTGGTTGAMAATGTTGGGTCAGTTTGCCACAGAGCAAAGAATTACTGAAGTTAGAAAGATACATTGTGATTCTGAGATCCTGACTTTTTGTTTTCCTCCTTATCCTGTATCTTCTACAAAGGTGAACGAAGGCTTTAGGTTGGGGGGCCTCGAGGGACCTCATAAGCTCTTAGGTCAGGCACTAAGCCAGAACTCGATAGAGCAGAGTTTATGGATAGATTAGCCTTGGCTTGTCTGTTTGTAAACACATGCTTGTCTCTACAGTGCAGCTGAAAAGGCTAAAATATTTGATTGAATATGTTCGTATTTTTAAATTCTCGATTGGTATCTAGCTGTTTGTGTGTGTGTGTGCTTTTCCTCCTCACTGGTTTGAAGGTGATGAATTACCTATCACACATGCTGATCCATTAGGGAAATTTGCTTTGAAAAACACCCACTTGCCGCAGGTTTATGTCACTACTTTTTCTTTACTTTTATACCAAACATTAGCTGTTTTTCTTGTGGTATTACGAAGCTATAGAAGACCACGTCAGTGTGCTCTCTATGTAAACCTAATAAACTATAAATGAATTAATCTCTTTCCATAGTATGAGAATTTATTTGATGACATAGCAAGGCTAAGGATGTATTCAAACCAGGAATGTCCTTTGGTGCACTTGTTTGGTCTGGACCAAAAGTGAGCAACTTTTTTTGCTTGTTTGTTGCGGTTAGCATTCACATTGTGCATTTTTTTTTTTGCAAAAAGACTATAATTTATAACAAATAGTTGCTCCCATTAAACAGAAATGATGRGGGACATGAAGGAGTACAGACAAGGAAAGAAAGGGGGAAACAAACTCTGTTTAAATCAGAGCAAATGTGTCAGGTGTGAATTCACTCTAAAACAGGTGTGTCTGTGGTTTTATAGGGCTACCAATGAACTTTTAAACATTTTCCCTTTTTTATTGAAAAGAAAGTTGTTAAAAGGTGTCATTTCTTGCAAAGGAATGATATTGAGAAGCCTGTACATGTCTATGGATATATTTTGTGTTTCGACAAGCGAGCAGTGTATTCAAATCTTTGAAAGGCCAAGTAACCTGTTCTGGCTTTAGGAAACCTTACTTTGTTTTAGCTCTGCTATTTGTTTAAAGCTGTACTTTAAAACCCAACAGTTGTGTCCTTTAAATGAATTGCAAGTTTTAAAAACTGAAACAGTTTTTTGAGCAATGATTATTATTATTTTGTTAATTTTCTCAACTATGAGAGACAAAATGTGAAAAAAATTGAGAAAATCATTTTGTCTGACTTTTAAAGAATTTTTTTGCAAATAATGGTGGAAAATAAGT